ATTTATGATCTAGCATTGTCCATAACATCGACAAACAGCATATCCCTATGCCATCATGTCAATATGGACCAAAATCTCTGAGGAATGCTTCCAGCACCTTGTTGAATCTATGTCACGAAGAATTGAGGCAGTTCTGAAGGCAAAAGGGGGTCCAACCCGTTACTAGCCTGGTGTACCTAATAAAGTGGCCGGTGAGTGTAATTGTGAGAGAAATATGATAGATTTCACAAGATGCAAACTAAAGCTGGAATTTAAAGCTAACTTCAGTGTAGTAGTTTGATCATATGGATCTTCTAAACATCTTGGTACAATATCGTGAGTCTCGTACCTTGCACGTGTAGATGAGATGATAGTGTGTTGACTGGATTTTCCCAACATTCTCTCTGACAGGCGGTGACGATGAGAGTCCTCTATGGCAGCTGAATCGAGTTTCACATCCGTGAGCAGGTAGGAAACACTGACGGATGAGTGAAGATACTGTCCTCCTGCTGCGACACTGAAACACAGACACGCCGGGTAACCGACCGTAATAACACCGCAATACCAGGCTAAGTGGGAGCTCCATTTTTAGAAATGACGTAAAACTAATACACCGTTTTAAGACTAGCATGATAACAATATATATAAAGGCCTTTATATATATGTATATCTATGATGATAACTAGCTTGTGTAAAGGAAACACAAGTCAAATTTTCATCAGCCGAATGAAGGGGTATTGTCGCGCAGTGATGACATCACAATGATCGCCTCGCGAGAATCCGACTGAATTGCTAGCTGCTACAACACTACCAAAACAGTGCTTCTGCAAATCGCATTATCCGTGTGAACGCAATGAATACCGTCGAAGTCCTTGAGGAGGGAGAAAAGCTAAGACATCGCCCGTTTTTGATTGGGGTTAGCGGAGGAACGGCCAGTGGAAAGGTGTTTAGTTATACATTTGTAATTACATACACTGGCTATATGTTAGCATAGTTGGTTAGCATTCATCCAACTGTCAAACTAGCCGTCACGCCCACTTGTTTAGAGTTATATTTAATCATCGACCCGTTCTGCTGCTAGAATCTTTTCGTTTCACATGAAAATTTTGTGCCAAAGGTAGTTATCAACACAAAACGAGGTCACTGGTGCGACGGCTTGAGCTCAGGGACCTCCTACCTGCAACATTTCGTTAGGCTTAGGTTTTTAACATTTTTCTTTACAGTCCACAGTTTGTGCGAAGATCATGGAGCTCCTTGGCCAAAACAAGGTGGACCACCGCCAGAGGAAAGTAGCCATCATCAGCCAGGACAGCTTCTACAAAGTCCTGACCCCAGATCAGAAGGCAAAAGCTCTTAAAGGCCAGTACAACTTTGATCACCCAGGTAAAACTAGACTAAAGTCATTTAATCACTACTGTACACATTTTTCTGCATATTTTTAGATGCTCACAAGATTGATATGTTTTTGTTAAAATCTTTGGGAATGATAAAAGTAGTATTATGCCTTTCCGTGGGAGTTCCGCAGGGTAGCATACTGGGCCCATTGCTTTTCCTATTATACATAAATGACCTTCCAAAAATATTGAAGTATTCAAATATTTTAATGTATGCTGATGATACTGTTCTTTTTTGTCTGATTTCAATATTGAATCTATTAATAGTCAGTTACAAGCAGATCTTCAGACATTTCATGGTTGGCTTCAATATAATCTTTTGTCAATTAATGTTAAAAAAAACTGTGTGCATGTATTTTTCCTCACCCAGGAGACATTTCAATATAACAAATCAACTCACTTTTTTAAACAAACCCCTTGATATTGTCACTACCTACAAATATCTTGGAATTACTTTGGATTCTCTTTTGACTTATCGTGATCATGTACAAGTCTTAACCACTAAGTTGAAACAGAAATTATAAGTTTATTCAAAAATTAGATCCAATCTGACATCTTCTGTTTCAAATATCTATCTTCATGCCATTATACTCTCAACCATGTCGTACTGTTTACCTGTTTGGTCTCTTACAACAAATGAAATCTTAGAACCCATAGTTAGGCTCTACAACAGGGCCTACAAAATTCATTAAAAACCTCCTGGTTGGACTGATCACTGTACAGTTCTTTCATTGTCTGATGCCTTGACTTTTCAGAATTATGTTTTGTATAGTGGTATTAATTTATATTTTCAGATCTTCCAAGGTGCCAATTATGGAACTCTCTGTACATTGTTGCCCAAATCAAATTCTGGAAGTGGTCATTCAACTAGATCTGTTACAAAAGGACAACTGATATTACCAACTTTTAAAAACTGTTACGGCCAGAGGTCTTTCTTCTATGTTTATACTAAAGCATGGAATGACATTCCTCAAACATAAAGTCTATTTAAAAACTACAGCCCTTTAAGAAGAATCTTGTCTGCCATCTGCTGGACACTTTTTGTTGTGCACATATTTAGACATCTTATTTTGCAAATGCTGCCTTTTTGAAATTTGGTATGCTTGTTTGTCTTTGTGTCTATGGTGTATAATGATGTGATTGTGATGCTGTATTTCTGAGTGTTTTATGTGCTGCAGAACAGGAACCTGCTGTAAAACAGCAATTATGCTGAGTCAGGCTTGATTTTTAATAATCTTTTCCTGTTAAATAAATAAATCAAATCAATTTTGCTAGTCTATTACAAATTTCATACAATTACACTCAGCTTTATTCTGTATAGATTAAATTCATGGCACAAAATCAGCAGCAACATACCATACACATAAAGTTGTTGGCTTAAAGATCCTCTTACCTAGTCTAAAATGGCAAGTTTAATTTACAGCTGGTTAGTATCTGGATGTTATTCCACGTTCTGAAGAGTTACTGTTGATTATCTGAGCTATTTAATGAAGGCTATTGCCAAATGATTGGCTTTTATAAAAGCAATGACGCCTGATAATGGCCTGTATTCCTGCTGTTGATTGTAACGATTTAACTGATAACAGCGGACTGGCCAGTGTAATTTTAAAATCCACACATCCTTTTAAATGTCTTGCAGAGGCATTCGACAATGAATTAATGTACAAAACTTTAAAGGATATTGTGGAAGGAAACGTGGTTGAAGTTCCAACATATGACTTTGTCACCCACTCCAGGTAGGAGGGAAACCTTCTCCCATGACTAAAGCTCGATGAAAAACATCTGTCTTTTTCACTTTTTTCCACTGTCATCGGCCTGAAAGCTTTTTTTGCGCGTTCATAGGTTGGAAGACAGGATCACCTTTTACCCAGCAGATGTGGTCCTCTTTGAGGGGATTCTGGTTTTCTACCCACAGAAAGTGCGTGAAATGTTTCACATGAAGCTCTTTGTGGACACTGATTCAGATGTCCGACTGTCTCGCAGAGGTACGCACGTCTCAGTCATGCTTGGATCCTACTCTTTTTGACAGTCTTTGAAAATTCTGACCTAATTTCATGCAGTCCTGCGAGACATGAGCAGAGGGAGAGACCTGGATCAGATTCTCAATCAGTACACGACTTTTGTAAAGCCTGCTTTTGAGGAGTTTTGTTTGCCTGTGAGTAAGATGGTCATTACTAATCATGCATATATTTTCTTTCACGTCTCTGTTTTAAAGCATTTTTGCTTTTTCTTTAGACCAAGAAATACGCAGACGTCATCATTCCAAGGGGAGTTGATAATATGGGTGGGTAACCTCAAAAGAAAATAAATATATATACGCCTCTGGGATCTGTTATGCTTAAAAAGAACGTCATTTTTTTGTCATCAGTGGCCATCAACCTGATTGTGCAGCACATCCAAGACATTCTGAATGGGGATATTTGCAAATGGCAGCGTGGCTCCGCTAACGGACGAGGCTTCAAACGGATGAGCTCTGAGCAGAGTGACCTGCAGAACGGATCCACTAACCCTCCAACGAAGAGAGCTCTGCTGGAGCCCAGCAGTCGGCCTCACTGAGACGCGTATGTAAATGGAAGGATTTGGACTAGAATTTGAGTCAAAATTGCTGCTGTTGTTTGCAGAAAGGGTTCGAAACTGTCGCCTTTTGTAGTTTTAAAACCGGTAATAATCCAGTGTTGCAATTATTCAAGCCTGCAACCTTATTTTATCATAATTACTGCTGTGTAACCAGTATTATCATAGCAAATAGTCTTCCATAATAGTTTTTGTACATTATTATATATACTGTATATATGTGTGTGTAATTCTTGAAATTATAAACATGACCTGTTACCGAATGGGTCTTGTAATTGAGGGTAGGATTAGTTTAATTTAAGTCATGCTTTTGCACTTTAGTGATCACATAGGACTTAATATTATTTAATATTTCAAATGTTAACTTGTTTGTGTAGTCTTTTGTATTCATCACATGTTGTGCTAGATGGGTATTTTTAAAACTTATAAATCATTTTTATTTTTTTTGTTAAGGCAGCCAAAACTCCAAGCTTTAAGGCGGTGCTCTCAAACAGTTACAGCTTGGTGAGACCAAACAACACTTAGAAGAGGGATTTGTATGAGAGTTCAGCTTCCATAAATGGAGCATCCCTTTGTAATTTCAAAAATGTTGTTTGAATAAAGCTCGTCAGACAAGTAGTAAAATTATCTTCTCAAAACAAACTTAAAAATCACATTTCATGCCCTGCATAGATTGTTGTTTTTTTCTGGTTCATGCCTTATTTCCCCATTTACTGTATGTAATATAATGAATTAAATTCTTTTCTGATGTATTTAGGTGTCGGTCTCTGGAAGAAAAAAAAAATCTACAGCAAAGAAGGCGCTTATAAAAAACAAGCCATTTGTTTTATTGTAGTTTGAGAGCACAGTGTGATGTGTTGGTTTTGACCATTATTACCCCCAAAAAAGGGATTGGATGAATACCTACAGCACATGTTGGAATGACAAACACACAAGTCTCTGAGGACTTCAGTCACACACAAACACTCCTTCACACACTGCTATGAGCGGGACATGATAGTGATTGCCTGATGTTTCTCTAAACTCGGATACGATGATTGAGTATGACATACATAGATCACAGCATCTTTAGTAATTCATCTTTTTACGTTTTGCTGTTTTTAGTGCACATACATATGGCACTTGGGAGAAGCTAAGCTCTTCTCATAAGCATAAACGTCCTTTTTAAGAACAAAAGGAGCACTGTATATAATACATGTCATAACCATACATGATTCTTACACGAAAAAACATGTCAAAACAAACTCAAATTTCCAGTCTCTAACAGCCGCCGTCTCTTCAAGCTCAAACCCCCGGCGCTCGCAGCAGATCCTCAGCCTGCAGCCTGCGTGTGGACGGCACAGTTCGCAGCAGGTTGCTCCTGAGGTTCTGCTGTTTGAGGGGAATTTGTTAGTCCAGGAGAGGGTTGCAGAGGATGACCAGCAAAATGGCACATAAAAAAGGGGACAAAAGGGGTTTGGAAAAAGAAAATGGACCGTTCAGCTCATTCTCTCACACACACATAACAGCTCCACTCTAAAACAGAGAGTCCAGGGAGCAGACTTTGGTAATTAGTGTCTCCCTGTCCGCTCTGATTCCTCGCTTCTCATTGGCACTGGGGGGTTTCTTCCTCTCTCCCAGTCAACTTATCAGAGCTGCAGTAATCCCAATTCTAATCTCCCGGAGCGGCGGAGCTCTTTGTAAACCTCAGTGACGTTTTAATTGTGTGTAGTTTGTTCTGGATTCCCCATGACGAGTCTCCCATTAGCTTCAGTGGATAGCTTCCATTCGTGTTTCAGTCTGTAGTAAAGTGGAGTTAGTGTCATGAAGCACAGTTGGAGGTCAGTGTCAAGAGGCCCACAGGCCCTAGGTCTTCTCCTCGCGGTCCGTCTTGCGCCTGGTGATGTTTCTGGGCTTGATCTTCAGTGACAGTTCCCACAGAGCCTCTTCGGCAAGGTGGTCACTGAAGTCGTTGAAGAAAGAGATGATGTCTTCGTTGCGCTTAAGCTCGTAATGCCTGAGAGATTAGAGGTTTGGCAAATTAATAATTTTGTGACTGATGCAACTCAGTGGCAAATAACAGGCATATAAAGTTAACAAGAAAGAAAACAAGGTCCCCCCCCCCCAAAAAAAAAGGTCTTACGCTTGCTGGAAGCGCCTCATGCTGTCCAGAATGTTGAACTGCTGCCAGCGTTTGGAGAAGTTGACCTTCCCATCGATGAGGTCCGGGTTCCCCAGGTGCACAAAGGTCAGGTCCTGGAGAATGAGACCCCTGCAAAATGGAGTTGGTGGAGAAAACGAGCAAAATTAAAGGAATGCATTTCTTGAAAGAATGCATGTTGGTTGCTCCCTTTCATACTAGAGTTTTATAACTAATATCTTGCAGAGGAATGACAGAGTTATAACTGTTTGGGTGAAATGTTATGCACAATTTCTTTGCACTATTGCAAGCTCGTGCAGTCTGTTAGTACTTGAAGTATGTGATGTGACAGATTCTCACCTACCATCTCACCAAATTTTATTTCACTCATTTATTTTTATATTAATCTTTATTTAACCCTGGGATCGAACCTAGGACCTTCTTGCTGTGAGGCATCAGTGCTAACCACTGAGCCGTTGTGCTACTTTTAGCTCAGTGTCAGTAAGAATGACAAAGTTAGAGCCATTTTTGTGTTTGCTAAAGTGGATTAGCTGTGGTGGCCATCTTAAAGAGGGGTATCGTGTATTTTCCAGGCATAGTTTAATTCTATACCATAATCAAGTCATTATGCTATTTTCTGTTATGAAAAGCTGTATATATCAAAAATAAATTTGACTTTGCATCATAGCTTATCTAAATGCCTTGAAATTGGCCTGTCTCTTTAAGAACCTCCTACCATTTCTGACATTCCCACTTCAGCATGTCTTAACAACAATGCTTAGTAAGAAGGGGTGATCTGTGGGGCAGGAGCTCGGCTGCAGACTGAGCTCCAGGGAGGAGCTAGTTACAAACAGGTGGTGTTTTGTACCAGTGAGCATTTAGGCAGCTCCACATGGCTACCAGAGGAAATTCAAGGATTTAATGTTGTTGATTTCAAAGGTTGATCAGTAGATGTGCATCAAATAATTTAATTCTTAGAGTTTTATTAAAATTCATCTAATGGTTTAATGTTTTTGCTACTAGACCTTTCCTTTCAGGGGAAGGTTAAGCAGCAGATCCTCACCAGTCTGAAGCGACACGTTTACTCACAGGTACGGGATGCACGGGGGCTCCACTTCGGCTAAAGCAGCTCTGTACGCTCTGAAGGATGAGGAGCTGTCGATCAGTGTGCAATACTCCTCCAAACCCTTAAAAAAAAACAATTTGAGCAAAGTGTGTTAAGAATCAAAGACAAATTATAGAAACATTTAACATGAATTTCTTTTTTGTCTTCTTCCATAAAAATGTTTTCACCTCTGACGTCTGTTTCTGCCACTCTAACCTCCTGATGGGGGCTGAATCCAGGGCGGACAGTATTGCCAAGTAGGAGTTAAAATTATTTAACTTTCTTAAGTGCTGTAACAAAAGACAATTAATGTTAAATGCAATCAAAAAACAATAAAAGTACATCTTTTAAAATGAAACTACTGTAACTTACCTTCATTATCTTAATGAACTTGAGAAGCAACTTCTCTCTATCTTGAGCTTTTTCCTGCTGAATTATCAAAGAGCGGACCCTGCAGGAGAGGGAAATCAATCACTGAGGTGTCAGTACTCGCAAAGACACGAACAAAAAAGTCCAAGATTTCCAGTAACGAGGAAGAGATTGATATGAAAATATCAGAACCAGTTCATGGCTTTTCTTTCTAGACCTTACCAATAGCTCATGTTGTTAAAGTGCTCTGTGAACTGAGTCAGGTTTGGACTCTTCTCCTCATTCTGCTCCTTCGCCCAAAGCAGAACCTCAGGAATCTAACGGAAAACAACAACAACAAAAATAAACAAACAAAATAGTTTAATTAAAAGGTCTTTTTGTTTGATGGTTGTTAAAAACAACTGATAAAAGCAGAGGGGAAGAACAGATTACCTCAATTTTATAGAAAAGTTCAGCATCAAGAAGAGTGAGCTGATCAGCAATCTCGTGACTGCGGAAGTCGTGAAGAGTTCCAGGTCTGTTTAAACACATAATATCAAGCATCACTGCTCGTGTCATTTTCAACCTGTCCACCAGATGGCTGACAACTCTCCTGTCAGAATCCAGTACCGAGCTATATTCACCTGTCAGAATCCAGTACTGAGCTATATTCACCTGTCAGAATCCAGGTACGCGCAAGTTAAAGCTGACAACCCTGCTGAGATATAACATTCCAGCCACCCGTTCTTTGACTTTCTGACATTTTTGACAGGAAGCTTTTTGGGTTTCTTGTCCTCATTCCCTGCAGCAAGTTAAACTGCTGCCTCCAATCCCAGTGCAGAGTCTGCTACCTTTTCCTTTCTGTGCAACTTACATAACTAAACAGAAAATTCCTTTATCTGCCTCCTAATGAGAACATCTGCATTACTGTAGCAACAAAAATACAAAGTACTGAGCAATCTTTTAAAACAAATTACACAAAAAATACAAAAAGAGGAAGTAAATTTGGCAAATACACAAAAATAAGAAAGATGCACTTAAATAAAAAAAAAACTATAAATAAAGAAGTATTGACCAGTGACTGAATAGTGTAAAAAGGTGTTGGTATAAATTCTGACTCAGCATTTTATAGTAGAAATATCATGACATGGAAAATTATTCAAAAAAATTAAACGGTCACTTTTTAAATTCAACAGTATGAAAACATTGTGCATAAAAATTGTGCAGGCAACAATATATAATGACTAATTTATGCTTTTTTTTTTATATCGATTTTCAAAGGATAAAAAAAAAACTAAATAAATAATTAAACATGGGACTCCACATTATTTTTCTTCTGGAGTTTAAAGGTCAAACTACTTTTTAAACCGTGTGCATGTGTCAGTCTGGGATTAAGTATACTCAAGAGTACAAATCATGTTCAAAGCCAAACTCTGATTCCTGCAGTACCTTGCAGAGACCCCCCGGGCAGCGAGGGGCTTGAGGGAGTTAGTGTAGCGCAGCAACTTCTTCTGCTCCACCTTGTCCAGGATGTTTTTGCGGAGCACACGAGCGAGGCTGAGCTCGCCGTTGCACACCAGCGTGAACACGAGGTCCATGAGCTGTTTCAAGATGTCCTCCGTCAGCTCCACCAGGCTAGGAGAGAGAAAAGAAACAAAGGTTAGAAAACACAAGAAAGCACATCTTTAGGGTGCTAACGTTCAACTAAAAACAGTCCTTATAACCCAGTGGAAGCTGCTACCAACAATACTTGTGCTGTTGAGTATGACAAAATTCAGGGATGTTTCTTTTAAATGACTACAACAATATACAGCTCTAACAATGATTTAAAAAAATCTTCAAGATATAGCTGAGAATAGGCAAATCTGAGGATACTTACTTTCAAATGTATCTGATTCCAATAAATCAGGCTTTATTTTGAAAATATCTGGGTGACCTCCCTCACATGGTGCAAACGTGTGTTAGGCATGATTAACTTTTGGGTTTTACTTACCACAGCTCATCTACGACACGAACCAGAACAAAAAAGGTGTTCTTGCTGACTCGTTTCTTGAAGGTGTCCGGACTGTGGCAGAATGTAGTATATGTGCTTTTGTGGTCAAGGATGATGAAAACATGGAACTGTTCAACTAAAGATGCAACAACTCTTTAACACAGTACACGCAGCTACTGTTTCTGGATCAATAAATTTACTTTAAACGTTTTTAAAATACTGTTGGACGGGGGAGACATTAAGAACATTGATTTTCTTAAAATACAGAACAATTCATCTCTCCATGTAAATATTTAACTTTCTCAGACCAACCTGACATCTACTGACAATATTTTACAATACAGCAGTCTGTCTTAGTACTGTCTTATTCCTTAAAGAAATAGTTCAAACATTTTGAAATGAGGTCCTAGAAAAATGCTACATAGGGATATTATTTTTTTCTGTTGCAGATAGCTCTACAAATCACCTTTAAATGGAAAAATGTCTGACAGACCGCTGAGCTAACAACTAATCTGAATGCCAACATGACGTCCAAAGAGAACTGCTGCCATGACTTAAAACTTCGTTCACAAAGTCACAAAACAGTTTATGTGAACACTTTATCATAAACCATCTACACACGTCAATTTTGCATTATGTAGAATTCTACCAATTTTTTTTGCAGCTACAGAATAGCAGCAGCAGCTAATTGTAGAAACTCTTGTGCAACCTGAGACACTTCCTGCAGGAATATCACAATACTTATTCCAGAAAAATAGAATATTGCAAAGTTTGTGTTGTCGTAAATCCTTGCAGAAACCTTTTAATACTGAAGTTGGTTTTAAGCAAAATGTGTTTGGAAAGTGTTTTTGTAAATATTTTTTCCTTGTCAACAAAATCTGTTGCAAATCATCATGTAGAGTTTTTGTCAGGTTCACATTTAGATCTGAAGTGACCACAGGTAGCACAGGAATGACATAAATAAATACAGTATATATA